CGTTTACCGAGTCGTGGTCTCCACTCAAGAACTTTCCGGCTCCAACGGCCGTCAGTTCCGCGGCTAATGTGACCAGCCCACTGCCACTTCAGTTTGCTAATTCGATGGGCTATGTCGGTGACTTTGGTTCTCTGTCGGATTAAATCATTTCTGATGCAGCCCTTCAGGGATACTCCGAGCATAGATAGCCCTTTCCGTAGCTCTCTGTTCATATAAAAAATATTTTGTATTATATTTTTATATACATACTAGCTGTGCCCCGCGATGTTACTCGCGGTTTATTACGGATATTTTCCCGCAGTAAAACGTAACCTGTGTGTTAATCCAGGGTGTCAGCTAACTCCATACCAAATTTTATGAAAATCGCACTCACAAACTTTCGCCTTTATAATGTTCGTGTGATTACAAAAAAGTTTTTTTTTATTATTGTCATATTTCATGAAATGCTAATTAATTGTAAGAAAAGTTGGCTTTATGTGACAATATCCTTGATTCTGGCATGCTGACAGCAGACTCTCCTTTTCATTTCCTATCATCACCATCGACCCATGCTCGTCCACTGCTGGACATAGGTCTCCCCTAATACACGCCAATGCTCCCGATTTTCTGCCACTCTCATCCAGTTCACTCCAGCCAGCCTACGAATGTCATCATCCCATCTTGTCTCAGGGCGTCCCACACTACGTTTACATTACATTATTACGTTTACATTTATTTACATTTCCTATAGAACATGACAATAAAGATATACTGCTTTCATTTCAAAGGACATGGTAAAGTTTTGTATGAGCGACTGCCCTGGCAATGTATAAATACTGTACTTAGTAATATTTAATTGTAAATGGCTGAATATTTATAATTTCTATGAAAAAAGGTTCAGGAACATTTGATACAGTCACAATCTTGAAAATTATGAGAACTCCTACTATGTCATTACCTTACTACAGTTGATAAAAGATGTTGCCAATTATTTTCAGAGTCATCAATTTCCATTAATTATCATATAGCCTTGTCTCAAACCTGTTCAGAATAATATTTTTTTTTGTTATAATAAAAATTAGGGCCAAATATGCCATAGTTTGAAGGAGTTTAGAAATAATATTGTTTATTTCGATATACTTACACAAATATTTTTTGTGTACATTTATTGTTCATTTATTTTGTAAAACGGAACATTTTGCTTTTTAAACAGACATGAAGTCAATTTTTATTACTTTTAAATATTTGATTATTTCACGAAAGTTGTATGAGAATAAAAAAACATGTAATAATTAATTAAAAAAATATTATATAGTTACGGGCAGTTTCTTAGCCATGTCCTTTAGTACAAATTTATTTAACGTAAGTCTAAAACTACTAATATTTGAAAGAAGCAAGATATATGTATTTTCTAAGCGTTATGTACGTTCGTCAACTCAAAAAGTACTTTACTCACTTCAGAAAACTTTTCACCGCCACATTATACTTGAGAAACATAACGTCATCGTCAAACGTCGATATCTGACGTGCGAAAAATAAAACTCTAGCATAGCACTTAACATTTGGAAATATTTATTTATTTATTTTATTCTTCATGCACGTACTGTACAATGGCGGACTTGATGCCGTAGGCATTCTCTACCAGTCAACCATAGGGTGTTGTGAAGATTTTAGTGGCAGGGTGCACAACTGAGGTGGAGATCACATTTAAAGAAATATGAATTTTACTCATAATAAATATAATAATATAACAATAACATACCTATATAAGTAAATATATACAAATAATATAACTAAACATATACATACATACATACATACATATTTCATATAATACATACATGAGGACAAACTACTTAACGAAACGCCTGTTCCAATAAAAAGCTTCGCAGCTTGGTTTTAAAGGAATGTTTGTTGGGTGACATTCTAATGTCTAGCGGGAGTTCATCCACAACAGTATAGTTTTGACGAAGGAGGAAGAGTGAATGATATTTTTTTTATTGTTACATAAATTATAGTTTATATTCTTCTTTAGTTTAGTTTAAATTTAAACAAAATATCACCAGAAATTCTTGCAGAATCCACAAGCACAAAATTAAAAATATTATAGATGAAACCTTTCAATACTAATTTAGTCAAAAAGGAAGGATTTAGTACCTATTGTACAGGCTCGGCCTAGTTTAAGCACTAGTGTATTGTAAGTGCTATTTTATTGTATTTTTCGTTTTAAGTAATATTGTCGCTTCTATTAAGCATTAAGAAAACAATTGTTATGTTTTAACTATGTGAAAATGTTGAACTGTGAGATGGAACAACTAGTAAACGATTGAAAGAAGATCTAAGATTTTTAGTATGAGAGGTACATAAATACTGAATCTGAGAAGTGAGATAAGGGAGATATTCAGGCTGATATTTTATAAGCAACTTCTGTTCACCGTCATAATGCTAAAGATTCGCAAAGCAGTCTTTGTTTTCGAAAATCAGTACTACTCGAGTATAGGTACAAGTCATAATGGGAAATATTATCGAAATCTCTAAAAAGTTCACATAGCAGATATTATTACTTTGAAAACGACGACAAGTCAAATGTTACCACTTTAAGAAAAAGTGCATCCGTGCGAAGCCGGGACTCATCGCTAGTTCCATAAAAAAAATATAATTATAGTAATATAAGTTATTTACGGGATTGTTACCATGTACCTTGTTTTCACTCCGTAATCATGGCGCTTGCAACAGTGCTGAAATATCGGAAACTCGCTAAAAACAAGGTACATGGTAACAATCCCGTAAATAACTTATATTACTATAATGTTAGTGACCATGAAAGTTTAAAACAAGATATATAATGTAGCGTGACAAAAGAATGTACACCATAATGAAGAAAACGAAAAAAGCGAAAGCGCAAACAACAAACAATTTGCTCTAAAAAAGAAATCCTACATACTCGGAGAGGAATACGTGAATATGATAAATTTATTCAAAACACTGCTTCGCACGAATCATTGCAAGGAAATTACATTTTCTCGGAGTATTATGGAATGGCGTACTGACTCGACTGTGTGTGCCTTTTTTTGTAATCTATATTAATATCATAAATGTGAGAGTCATTCTGTGTGTCCGTAAGATTTGCATACCTAAACTTCGTTGTCGGTGTAGATTCGACTTCGAAGAAGGACGCAAATTTTTTCGCGAAATTTCGAGTTATGGAATATGGGATAATATTTCAGTAAAGTAACAGTGGTGGTTTTCTCTAAGAACACACTCACTTTTCACCGCGGCTTTGGCCGGTGTAATTTGAAATTTATTTGAAATTCTAAAACCGCGGATTCCGAGGTGAAAGTAAGTTTGTGCTTCAAGAATAGCACTACAGATTTTCATTGAAAGCAACGAATAAATTTGCCTATTTTGTCGAATAAGTTCTTTTTACACATTTCCTTTTTCTAGAGAATTTTTCACGTAAATATTTAACACCGTTCGATAAACAATCATGCCTAAATTTCGTTATAGGGGTCTTCGAAGAAGGATTTACAATTTTCGGGAAAATTCAATTCGGTATGGAATGGTATGACCTATAATTTACATGTAACTATTAAATGTACCTTCTTTTTCGAATAGGTTTTTTTTACAAAAAATATCATTCCTTTGTTTATACAAGTGTTTAAGTGTTACGGATGCAGCCGAGTCCAACGGCTCACAGTGCCTCATGAAGCACACAAGAGCTCAAGATAATAAGTTTGGTCACCCATCCTGCAAATGTCGTTTAACTTTCGCGATTGCAGATCAAACGCGTTAACTATTTGCGCTATCAAGCCCGTCAAAGAATTTCATTACAGCTTTTTTAATTCTATCATACAATAATATTAAAACAATCTATCTGGACTTATAAAGATGACGATTATTGTACTCCTTGTTTTTTATTAATAGTCAGATAGGGAAATGGTTCTAACACATCTGATGTAATTGGTGATAAAGTCCAGACGCAAAGATAGCTAGTACAGTAGTTATAAATTGCCACACCAACGATCCTCACCGAAAATTGTGCCTTTCATATAGATTAAGACTTTGTCCATTGTTATATTTATTTATTGTATTTTCACGCACACCACTCTATAAATAAAATAAGCCTGTAAAGATTCGAGGCATACAGATAATAACAAAAGTATTAAAAAACGCACCTGAAACCGCGTGTTTTATTCGACCATTATTTCGTTTTAAATATTAGAAAAAATAGGCCTCTAAGATAAACAAGATATAGAAGCTGTATTTCCTTTTAGATAATTTTACAGAAACCTAATTCTCTTCTCATTTCTGTACCCTTTTCTACATAAAAAGAAAAACAATGTTTGTAACGAGATAAATACAAAATATGAACATACAAAAAGATGAAAACCCAAATAAACAAAGTATATTCGAAGCTCCCCCCTAAAATAAACGATTTTGCGTATGCTCAACAAGTCACAATCATATTTATTGTGTGCACCGGATCTAAGCGATACGTAGCAATGGGCCATTATGATATTCATATGACGGAGGCGGTGAGAGATAATTTACTTAATTTCCTTATGTGGCGCGAACAATGTTTTGGCGGCACTCCTGTAATTCCAAATGTTGTTTTCAAACGCGAATTAATTGTTTTCGGACGTGAGCTTCTGCAAAGGCTGTGATAAACGCGCGCTGTTTGCTTTTAGATAGTTTTGTTTGGTCACTCTTTTGTTTTTAGATTGAATTGTTTGTTTTTGAGAAATTTGGTTGTCCATATTTTTAATGATCTGTGTATTAACGTGTATTAAATATTAAATTTTTCCAGATTCAATTATATGTATAAAAAAATTTGCAAATGCAAAGATATTTATTTATTGAAAAAGTTTTTCTCTTTAATTTTTAAGTAAACCTGATTGTGTCAACACATAAATTTTCCCTGACACAATTTATTCCAAATTTAATTTAAAAGTTCCATGATAAAGTGAACAAAAATTTTTAAAATTAAAAAGCATAATAATAACATGGAAAACACCACTAACCTTCTGTAGCGGCAACCGTTGTTCAATCACAATAAAATATCCATTCATACAGTGCGAAATTCCACAACACAGAGGCGTACATACGAAAATCCCATATATGAAAATTTAACGAATAAAACCTAATGCGGAAAACGGAACACTCTTTTCATTAGTCACTGTAATAAAAAAAGAAACAGTTTTTTTTTATTTCCAGTATAACACACTCACAAAACAATATCACTAACACAACAAATCTCTTTGCTTTGTTTGTTTTTAAATTTTTAAAATTTCGCACGCGGCGTTCGATATTTAATTTTGAAGCGCGTAATAAAACCGGATAGCGCGGCAGACGCGACACAGTCTGACGCTAGGCGCGTAGCCGGTAACTGAGCGACTGTAAGCTCTGCTTGCCCGGCCAGGGTTGGTGGCAAACACTATGCGGCCACGTAGACTGGCCACTTTGAAAGCTCTCGCGAATGTAGGCAGGATAGGCAAAATAGGTTAGTACTTTTTTTACCTTAAAAATAAATTAAATTTCAGTCTACAGCTAGGTATTTATATCTAACTGTGGAAATTATATTTAACTGTCCTAAAGGATACAGATGATGAATTTATTAACAAGGTAATAATCAAAGATAAGTAGTACTTTTTTACCATAAAAAGAAAATAAATATCAGTCCGCAGCGTATATAAAGAGACATTGTTATCTTTATCAGATATTTAATATCTATTTACAGAATTAGTAAATTCAAAGAGAAAGAAAAAACAGTGCAGTATCATTAATCTCCGTGATATTAAAATAAAGTGAAAACAAAAAAACATGGCTTCATTTCTATACAAAAACTTCATAGCAAGTGCCTAAAACATTATTATACTGAATAAAAATGCACATCATTTTTAATAACACCAATTTCATTAACAATCATATCACTTTCCCATTCGAAATTTCAAATCCAAATGACTAGTCTACTATTTTCACGCAACGTAATCTTTGCCTCGACAACGACCTTAATCTGAAATCCCTTTTCAACTCCTCGTGCCTCTCATTATTGATCTCTTTCACTCCTCACTACCGGTGCAATAATGTTTCCGTCCCGCTCGAATCCTACGAAGCTGCATGCATCCGTCCCTTTCCTCCACCACTGCAGAGCCTCAAAAACGAGGTAGTGCTGCCGTAGTTTCAACGTGTGCGTTTGGCATAAGAAATTTTTCCCTCGCGTAGGCCACAGACTAAAAATATAACTCGCCACCTTTTTGCACAACTGTCTAACGCAAAGGTGAGGCGCGAATAATTTCCCTCACGTGTGGCGTGTTGTTGAAGAATGAAAACTTTAGTGTGAACCGGATGACTTATAAATTTCTTTACAGGGTAAAACAGACGTGGAAAATGTTGAGGCAGCCTCGCCGCACCGGTTTTTCTTAGCATTCGTTTTAGTATGCTTAAAGGGGTCTCAATTCGGCAGCTGAATAAAACATAGAGAAAACAGTTGGGCAGAGACAATATTTCGAATTGGTACGCGCGCTGTACAGTCGTTATAGCGATACGCGGCTGTGGAACAATTCAATTTTGGTACACACGTTCTTCGATCGCGTTTTGTTTTCGAGTGTAATTTTCAAAGGCGAGCGCAATTGATTTTGGTTCGCTGTGTATTTTTTTTTTGACTTTGATTGCACTTTTTTTTTCAGCCTGTGATGTTTGAACCGCCATTTATTTATAATTACGATGGTAAGGTACTATCTTATTATTAGTTTACATCGTTTATATTTGTAATGGAAAGTGACTTCATGAGTTATCTCATATTGAAGTCATTTTGCAATTTGAAGACTCTGTATGTAATACAGGAACAAAAAAAAATGGTTGCCTGTAAAGTCGGTTTTACGGGCGAAGATTTTACGTGACAACGTCTTTTTCTCGGTAGAATATTTATTGATATGAATATAATTAAATTGCACAATAGGAACAAGGAATTGAATGAAAATAAGAATTGCACAAATTTTAACTATAGAAATATATTTTGTTTACTAAAACATTGTACATGTAAACTTAAACTTAACACGAGAGACTCATCGTAACGTTACCGAGCGTTACACTTTTTCATAAGTGACTCCCAGCCGCAACCTAATTTAAGACGTTGTCACGTCAAAAAAAAACAGCCCTTGCTGAATTTCTTCTCGGTTCTTCTTAGTATAAGGTTTCCCGCCGTAGATTTGCAAACCGATGGCGTAGCTTTTCTACATTAACAAGTGCTTGGAACAGCCTAGACTGAATAAACGATATTGAATTTAAATTTTAGTTACGTTAACAAAGTCGAACTTTTTTGCATCACCGATTCTGGACTCTACGAAAGGAAAACTTGAAAAGTTTAATAGTTTTTTTGCCAAAGATACCTCACAGTTTCTTTATATTTTTTTAAATCTTTCTTTAATTTAACAATATTTTTTTAAGATGCACGTGAATCCTCCCTGAAGGGGTTTTAACCAAAAATGGTACGTACGAAATAATGTTTTACTTTAAAACCCTATAAAATGTATTCGTTAGATTAATTATTAAGATCAATATTATATTATATGTTCATAATAATTTAAGGTGTTACTTTGTATTTTTCGAATGGAAGCGCATTCTTTTAACACTGAAATAAATATTCTACTCGAGTTTTCTGCTGCTATTGAAATATTCAGTTTATTAACACGGATACTATGAAATTCGATGAATCCTTTGCAGCCATATACACCGAGCTAGGCACGACCACACTGATATCACTGATTCACTGATTTTGACCTCCTTGGCCGAGTGGTTTGTACGCCGAGAGGTCCCGGGTTCGAATCCCAGTGGGGGCAGATATTTGTGTGCTGAATACGAGCATTTGTACTCCAGTCATGGATTTTAATATGTATTTCTATATAAATATACTTATATATGTACAGTATATGTATTCTATCCGTTCCCTAGTATTCCATAACACAAGCCTTATAGTGCTTAGCTTGGGGCTAGGCTAATTGGTGTGAGTGTTGGAAATATTTATTTATTATTATTTATTCCTTACAAGATAGCTTTCATGCTTATATAACAAAATAACTACATGTTTTAGTATCACAAAATCTATTTGGAAATAATTATAATACAACATAATCGTATTAAAATTAAAAGTAATTCACCTGTAAACAGCATATATTTAAGAATGGTATGTACACATATTTTCTTATTGTAATGTGAAATTTTATATTACTGGTGAATCTTTGTCAATAAAATATTTAAAAAAATTACAAATCTCATGCTCTACACGACTTGAAAGGGTATTGAAAATGAATCTACCTATTATGGATTAATAAAATGATTTCTTTTCAAAGCCAACTTTTCCAAAATATTTTTACATCAAAGCCCTTCGAATTCCGCGTCTTTTGAGCCTTCATACGTCATATGGCCCTAAACCTCGGGGTATCACGGGCGAGTCGCACTTTTAGCGAAAATGGGGACAACTGGGAAAAACATTTTCAATGTTGAAAAGCTTAGGAGCTTAACCGGACTCCACATTTAGAGGTCACTAACCCGAAATGAAATTTCGTCAATTTTGAATTTGAATGCTCATACACGAGCCGAGTAGACGTGCAACCTCATTTGACACATTCCATGTAACAAGTAAAGAAAGCAAAATGCAGGTGTAGAATATTATTGTGAACTCAATTTATGAGTAAAAATGTTTACGTTGGCACTTCTTGAAACGAAAGATAAATATTAGGTAAATTCTCGTGGTGAAGAACAAACTTTGCTGTAGTGTTGGGTAGGACACTACTTGAAAAAGAGTTTGTAAGAGTAGCCTCTTTTTTGTACTGAGCCAGTACAATGTCCCACTTCAAATGAGGCGAGGTGTACTGAAGCTTGGCAATACATTTGAAGTGACGAGTACAAATATGACATTGAGGCGTACAGAAGCTCGACATTACGTTTGTGTGCACGAGTAGCACCTCCTCTACGCACTATCAATCTTGCTGGATCCAGCATGCAGGACAGCGCTATACACGTAAAAGAGATAGAGATACAGATGGATAGTGCGTAGAGGACTTAAATAAAATGTTATGTCTCGCTCTCTCTCTCAGACTTGAGTGAGAGAGAGACTTCAGTGAGTAACGAGACGCGACTATCGCGACATTTAATGTGAAGTAGTACATTTTAAAATTTTGAGCCCCTCTTACATTTTGACGTCATGTCCGGGACAAATGTACCGCCTCTTGTAAGTCCTACTCAACACTACTTTGTTGAGTCTGCTAATTAGACAGACATATTTGACGACCTGTTGAAGCAACAGCTGTGACTTTAAGCATCTTGTGTTCGCATAATACCTACATAGTTGGAATATTTCTTGGCATGAAAAGTGCATCTTGTTTTCCAGAAGATAATAAGGTTGTTTTATTTAATTTATTAAAGACTAGTGGCCCGCCCTCGCTTCGCTTCGGTGTAGAGCTGTAGTGTAAACTATAGTTTTTGTTCTCAGGCTTGTGCTATAAACAATGACTTTATTTATATAATTACACGTGTTATTGTGAGTCGACCATAAAAGATAGACATATGCTGTTGCGGGATATTTTTTAGACAATTTTATGTAGAATATTTCCGTCATACATGATTTCTATGTAACTTTAACCATTAAGGCTGCACCCGCGACGGAAGCTTAAAAAATGGAGTAACTTCTCCTGTTTTCCCAACATTTCCCTTCACTACTCTGCTGCTATTGATTGTAGCGTGATGAAAAGTATACTATAACCTGCCCAGGAGTATGAAGAATAATTGTACCAAGTTTCGTTAACATCCGTCGAGTAGTTTTTGTTTCTATAAGGAACATACACATAGACAGACAGACAGACAAAAATTTTACTGATTGCATTTTTGGCATCAGTATCGATCACTAATCACCCCCTGATAGCTATTTTGAAAATATATTTCATGTACAGAATTGATCTCTCTACAGATTTATTATAAGTATAGATATTCAGATTTTAGAGGAGCTCGACGGAACGGGTGAATAGCGCGTTCGGCTGCGATCGTTGAAGTTAAGCAACTTTCGCAGTGGTCGGTCCTGGGATGGGTAACCAAAAATCTTCCATCTCGTGTTCCTCCGTGCTTCAGAAGGCACGTTAAGCCGTTGGTCTCGGCTGCATCTGCAGTCGTTAGCACCCGCCAATTCCCACTGGACCCGCGTGGTTGGTCATGGCACAATCTCACTATTCCATCCATAGGGAAGGCCTGTGCCCCAGCAGTGGGGAAATTAATAGGCTGATGATGATTATAGATATTACTAGCGGCCGTTAGCGTAGTTTTTTGGGAGTTCCTCAGTATAATATTCTCTGTCTCAATTCAGATAATAAACTATAGGTGTGCCAAAT